ATACCACCATGCTGGCTAATTTTTAAATTTTTTTCGTAGAGACAGGTCTCACTATGTCACCTAGACTGGTCTCAAACTCCTGGCCTCAAGCAATCCTTCTGCCATGGCCTCCCAAAGTGCTAGGATTACAAGCGTGAGCCACCTCATCTGGCTGGTTATGACTTCTTAAGGCGTCTCTCCCCACTCTGGACGTCTTTCACATTTTACATGAAAATCTCTTTCCTTCAAACTTGAGAAGTCTATATCTGTAAGAGATACAGTTTTTGTTGACTTTTGTCATGTTTTATACAGTCTTTTCAAAATCTCTGGAAGTTTCCTTAACTTTAAAGGCCTATCAGGACTCTGAAGAAGTTAAGAACCCAGTGGGGAATGCTTTCTGGAGCTAAACCCACGTGCAGGAGGCTCCGTGTGGCTGAGACATCCCCTTGGTACTTCCCCAGTCCTCCCCCTGCCCCTGCATACTCACACACGTGCGTCACACTCACTCACACAGACGTGCACACACTCACACAGTCAGACACAAACGCACACAGACAATGCATGAGCGTGGAGACACACACAGTCACAAATACCCTTACACACAGACACTCAGACACACAGCCACACCAATGTGCACACCCTCACGTACAGACACAAACACACAGGCACACACACAAGCCCATGTAGTTGTCTGTTGTCTAAGAGATTCTGTTTTGCAAGAAGAAAATGTTCTGGAGATTGCACATCAATGTAAATATCTCTAATAAGATGACTATCTCAATTGTGTACTTAAAAATGGTTAAGATGGTAAATTCCATGTGTATTTTACCACAATTAAAAATAAATAAAAATATTCTAAAAGACAGAGGTATTCACTGTCAGTAGGTGAGTGCATTAGTAAACCTCTCATTCCTTTTATTCCTTCTGGGTGGCCCTGCTGTGAGGAGAGCCAGCCCAGCAGCATACCACTGCCCCACAGGAAGGTGGTTACCAATGGATGATCATAGATCCCTGGCAAGAGAGGGCTGTGCCCAGGGAAGCTGAAGCAAAGGGAAAACTCCTGCCCTCTGGAGCTGTCACTGGCGTCGATGTACATGTCTCCCGAAAGAAGGAAGAAAAGAGGCTGTTTGTTGGAGGAATGGTCCTCTCTTAGACCCCAAACCCTACTGTGGTGGCAGCTGCAATAGTTCTTTATAAATTCCTTCTTGGAACTTTAATTGTCATTGTCAGACTGTGAAAACTCCCCTGAGGCTTCTGTAAAGGTGTGAATGGATACAGAGAGCCACTCACCTTTGCCAGCTGCTCGGCTAGAACGTGATTGTAAACTGTTCCCGCAGCTTCCCTTCCATCCTCTCCCCCAGAATCTCTCCTCCTGGAGTGGAAAGTCTCCCCCAACTCCTACAGGGTCAAGGGCAACGGAGGAGAAAGGCTCTTCCCAGAGATGGTCTTGGGTCATTCATTTGCAAGGGCCTGGTGTCTTTGTACGAGGCCAGTTGTTATTTATGTCCACTCAAATCCCTGTGGAACTACGTCAATAACCAACAAAACGCAGGTCTTGTTTGGTAGGAAAAAACCAACAGTGTCCAGACATGCCTGGGTTTTTTGTTTGTTTGTATGTTTGAAACGTGAACTTTTGCATGTAAATCAAATAGAGTTTGCCGGAAAATCCATCGTCTGAGCAAATAAAGTCCTCTCCCTGGGTATTGCCAAGTGGGAAAAAGATGGTTTGTTTGTAGAGGAGAGTGTCAGTACCATTGAAATGAAAACTCAGAACGAAAGGGTCAAGGTCAGGGAACCTGGAATCCCTCCTGCCATGCGTTTCCTATTTATCCACAAACCCGGAAGGTTGCTACGTATTTCTGACAGGAGCCAGGATCCCAAAGGTGAGGTGTTTAGGGATTCTTGCTCTGCCCCTTGGGTATGCAATGAGGGATAAATTGCAACTTTCTTCAAGTTTCAGCCAACAGAAGATTGGGATCAGGACCCCGCAGCTGCAGAAGAGTGGGAAGGTGTGCCAGGGCCCCTGCAGGCAGAGGGAATGCGCATCCCCTCGGGTTCTCCTCCTGAGCCAGTGAGGCCAGGAAAGTAGGGGCAGAATGGAATTTCTCCAGTGACCTTCCACTGGAATCTCCTCTTGCTCTAGGCCATTGCTGACATGTCAACAGCAATGTCCGGAGGGGAGAGGAGGGACTGGCTGTGTCATGATGAAAGTCCACAGTTTGTTGTGCCCGCCCTGGAACTGTTTTTCCTGAGAGCCCCTCTTCACCTTTTCCCTGTATTGGAGGAGGGAGATGGGAGGGTGTGCATAAGAGATTTAACACAGCGAACCTGAAACGGGCCTTAGAAATGCCAGTTCGCAAGGTTGGCTCTTGGCTGGCATCTGGATTGCAGCGGTCTTCCCACCGGTCCCTAACGGACGAGTGCAGCTCATGTGCTTAAACTGTACAAAACTGTGGTTCGTGCTGAACACCTGCTTTCCTTCAGGGAGTCTGGAATTTGGGTACAAGGTAAGCAGAGGGTGTCTATGTGATCAGCCCCACCCCCAGTGCCTGGGCACTGAGGCCCTAGCAAGCATCCCTGGCAGATGACATTACACACGTGTTGCCACCACTCGCGCCTGGGGAGTTGAGCACATCCCCTGTGACTTGACCGAGAGACCACCCTTCGAGCTTCTGTCTGGCTTCCTCTGGACTTCGCCCAAGGGCCTTTTCCCTTTGCTGATTTTGATTTGTATCTTTGCACTATAAATTTATTTTATATTATATATAATGTACGTACATTTATATGTGATCACAGCCGAGAGGACGGCTGGGTCTGGTGAGTCCTCCTAGCGAATCACAGAACCCGAGGGGATTTGGGGAGTATTGAACAACGTGTTGTCCTTTTTGCTTCACGGACCAGAATCCTATTGTACTTAGGAGAAAGTGGTGCGATCGCAGTATTGACTTTAAGCTTTTAAGCTCTCTTAGCATCTTTATTAAAATCCCACCATGTGAATCAGGGTGGACAGAAAGGCCTTTCCGGCATTTTTATGTTTTTAAAATTGGTATAAAACAGGGTGTTACCTTAGCCCTTCTCATTTTTTTCACTGCATGCTTCATAACTGGGTCCGTTTTCAGAAAACAAAGCTGCTTCCTTCCTGGGGTCAGTTTTGCCTGTCACCGAGCTGGACTCTGTCTGTGACAGACACACGTTCTCTGCGCACACGTGCAGACCCACAAAGAGGGGCCACAGCCACCGTTGCGAGCCTCCACACTCGTCCCGTCTGCTCCCCCTGAGACCCAGTCTGCTTTCCAGCTCCTGCCTCCACCAGTTCAGTGAGATCACACTCCCGACCTCGACACTTGTGAGTTTCTGGCCCACACCTTGATGCCCCTGCAAAGGCGCTGGCTCGCATTTGTACTCACAGCTCTCTGCACGGGGGGTTTTGGCAGTAGTGAACCCAAGCCATTTGGGCATTCGCTCCCTCAATAAATCCTTATAAAACAGCTAATATATGTGGAGCATCCTGACTTGAGATCCGGTTCTTGAGTGTGTCCCTCATTCCCCAAAAGGGGGACTTAGACAATCCTTTCCCCGGCCCCTTCCATCTGTAGTGACTACGGCTTCCACCTGTCATTCAGTCATGCCCTGCTTGTGAGCCAATACGGACCATGAGGAGATGCCCCACTGATGGTGGATGAACCTGTGACAGGTCTTTGTGCTGTGGACCCGTATCCAGCGCACCTGGCATGAGCCCCCGCAGGGCAGCACTCTCGTACTTCTTGCTGTGTTGCCCAATCCATACAACGCGGTCTACGCTTCAGTTTCTCAACTTGCATCCTAGCCTCGCTCCCAGGCCTGGGAGGTGCCTTAAGCCTGTCCACTGTGGGGGCCCTGGCTCATGGGGCTCCTGCCGGTGTGTCTCACCGTCACCATCAGAACCGGCTGCTCTGTGCACCCCCACGGAGTCCTGTCCTGTCCAGAACTGGATCATAGGACTGGTTCTGAGACACAGGAGGAAGAGCGGACCAGAGGGACAGCAAAGCCTTGGAGAAGAAGGCGACGTGGAACAGGGCGCAGGGGGCACAGCTCTTGGTTTGGGGAAGCAGCGGGAGGAGGGACCTTTCCCACTTTAGAAACAGGAAGAAAGAGGGAAAAGATAGGCAAGGTCATAGGCAAATTCTTGAATTTGGCTGCAGAAAACTGAGAGAATTCCTAACCAATGGCATCTTTTTTTTTTTCTTTTATCCCTATGACATTAGGAGATCAAGTGTAAGGGTCATAAATTGGAAGACAGTAAAGAAGGTTAGAAATAGTTATAATTGAAAATAAGAGTATTTAGAGACACAAAGACTCAGGAAAAAATATGGAAAATTTTAGGAGGGAAATTTTCTTTCTTTTCTCTCTAATTTTTGAAGATACACCAAAATGGTTTTCAGGGAAAAAAACAAAGTGTCATTTCTAATTTGTGTGGCATCCTTAAAGGTGTTTACTCATCTTCCCTGGGGCCAGGCGCCTGCAGGAAGGGGTTAGGCTGTGGCCACAGCTCCCTGCGGTGATTCAGGAATGTAGACCCTGCCCCTCAGCCTTGTTTGCTCAGGAGGGACAGTTCCTCCTGCTTGATGCATGGTCGCAGCTGTTTGTGTGACCTGTCTGCGGAAGGGCAGACCTCCCTTCTACCACGTCCCACCAGCCAACCTGCCTGGCACAAGCGTTCCTTTGTGGCGGAGACCCGGAGACCCTTCCAGCCTTCTCACCAGGGGGCAGGGGCGGGGATTGCCTGGCACTGGGGCTCCCAGCATCCAAGAGAGAAGCGGGGAGGCAGCCCTGGGGGTGGGCATGGGGGGAGAAGCAGGAATGGGGCACTGGGAGGAAGAGGGCGAAGGGGGAGAAGGGCACATGTCACAATAACAGACCAGGATGGCAGAAGTAAATGGCAAGTCCTCAAAGCTCCTCTGCTCCCTCCAGCTGTCAAGAGGGGGAGGAGAAAACCCAGTTGGAGGGGGGAGGAGGGTGAGTGCTCTTCGGAAGTTATTTAAGAGCCAACTTACTTGTCCTATTTCCTGCCTGCCTGTGAGGAAGTAGCTGAGGCGCACAGAGGAGCCTGGCTAGGGCCCTGCAGGGCGCGCACCAGGTAAGACGCCCTGACCCGCGCGCCACAGCGCGCCACAGCGTCTGCTGCTGCGCTCCGCTCCGCGGTGTCGCCAGCCCTCAGGCCGCTGCGCTGGGGTCCCGGGGCGCCGGGTCAGAGCCCCGTCTCTCCAATTCCCGCTCTGCAACCCCAACTCCGCATCTACCCAGTCCCACTTCTGAGCGGGACTTCTCTCTTGGGCGCTCCACGAAGCCCTCCCGAGGGCGCTGCTTGCTAAAAAGGCCACCGGATGGGAATGGGGGAGTTGGGAGTGCTCCCCCCAGGACAGGCCCCCTCTCCTCAGGAGATCAAACTGTGGCGCAGGGACACAAAAATGTGGAGGACAAGGAACAGGACTTAGCTCTCTCTCCATGTCTGCTCATCCCCTTCTCTCATCCCAAAGCAGAGCTGAAGTTGAGCCCCCTGCCCTCCCCAAGACCCCCAGAAGGGGGTGCTCCTGCCCACCTGCGCCCACCCAGCCAGGCCTGCATTGGCTGGGACCTGGCTAGCACCTGGGGCTCCCCAGTTCTCCCCTTCAGCAGCTCTCTCTCCCAACAGGGTGCTGCGCTGTTCTGCGCCCCTAGAGACCCCACAGCCCACCCTTCCCATTAACATTTCTCACCAGGGGACTGCTTCCTCCTGCCTTTCTTCCATCATTGACCTTTTTCTCTCTCCTCCCTTCCTCTTCCCCTCGGCTCATTGGTGAATGTGTGTAAATATGTTTGTAGATATTTATGGATACCTATTCAGACCTCAGCCTTACAAACACTCCTGTCTCCTTCCAAGACCAAATGCCAAAGCAGTTCTCTTGTCCCCAGTGTGTTGCCATTACCGCACATGTTTCTGGAGCAGTTTCTACTCTGGTGCCCTCTATAATAGCGACTCTTCATGTTTTGAGGGTGTGCCTGGTTTTTGAAAACAGCCAAATCGCAAGGAGTCATGACTGGGTAATCCAGGGGACGAAGCGGGAAAACTTCATTTGGTCCAGAAACAAAGTCCCCCTTCATTCGGTCAGCTGGTCCACGAGCACTTGCTGGGGCTGACAGGTGCGTGGCGTGTAAGCTGCCTCTGCGCCCGCACGAACCCCAGTGCGGGGAAAGCGGGCTGGGAGCAAGGGCGGTGCTGCACCGCTCACCGCTGGCGAGTCTGTTGACAGCCCTGCTTGCAGCTGCGGCGGCCTCGTCCCACCTACCCACGCTGCCCCATCTCCTTCCCCTCCTCCATGTGGCTGTTTCCAAAGCAGTTCCCACCTCCTCACCCCTAGCCGGGTTTGTTCGTGAATCTTGGTGAGCTCTTTCCTCACCCCACCAGACCATAAACTCTCAGGGCAGAAATCCTGTTTTGTTCTCGGATGGATCCCAAGTACCTAGATCACAGCTCGGCGCATCTTAGACCCTCAATAAATACCGGTTGAATTAAATTGCAGATGTGAACGCTTTAGAGAACAACACTGATCTGACACGTTGTATGAGTTTATTCTACCAGTGACTTATAATCTCACAAACCTCTATGAAATGAGCAGAGGCACAGTGCATGCATTCGACAGTCAACCTTTCTTACAAAGATGTTGGCTTTGGAGGTACAGGGGTGGGGGGAACCTGCTCTCCAAAATCTTTTCCATTTTCCATTTTTTCAAATAAACTCCTGCTTTCCATATACTTTGACACAGATGAAATCTCCCCGAGCTCCTCGGGGAACTGCATTCCACCATTAGACTAATCTTTGCTTCCGCTTCTCAGTTTTTATTTATGTGAAACTCAGAATGTGTTGCTCAAGTGCTACCACACACGAATATGTCTGTTTCTCTATTTTGGAATCCTGGTCTCAAATGTACTTCACTTCACATGCCTTTTCTGCTGTCTTTTTATTTTTTTTCCAAGGACTTCATAAAGCTGAGAATGTCGGAAAGCTCCACGCCCGCCTTTGCAGGCAGGAGAGCAGTGCCACCCAACACCTCCAACGCCGAGGAGGATGACCTCCCCACGGTGGAGCTGCAGGGCCTGGTGCCCCGGGGAGTCAATCTGCAAGGTAGGCGCACACCTCCAGCTCCAGGCACAGTGGCCCTGGCCTCTCTTCCCTGCAGGAGAGCATCCTCTGTCTCCACAGGAGCTCCCACTAAAGAAGGCCCCCTGGCAGTCTCCGGTTTGTATAAAGGAAAGGACTCAAAAACCCCCTTTTAAGTGGGAAAGCACCAGAGACCCAGATCCTTGTCCCAGTTCTGCCACTTACTGACCTTGTGACCTCAGGGAAGTCACTTTGTCTTTCTATCTTCAACTATTTCCTCTACAAAACCAGGGTGCTGGATTAGCTCGGGCCTCTTCCAGCCCTACTGTTCAATGCTTTTGAGAATTTTCTCTGACTGGAAGATTCCACTTCCAAAATATTGTGGCTGTTTTGATTGTCTGGCTTGCACCTCCTTCCTTCTCCCTCCTCCCTCCTCCATCCATCGCTGTGAATCTCAGAGTGGGGAGAGGTGCCAGACTCTGACAGTAGCAGAGATGGAAGCCTCTATTTCTCTCTAGGGAAGCTGGGGAGCTGGCAAAGCAAGCTGCTTCCCTGCCTCCTGCCTCTGCCTGATCCCGAGAAACCTGCTCTGGGTGCAGCAGCCAGCAGCTGACCTCCTCTCAGCCCTGTCAGCTGTGACAAGGCCCAGGTGCCAGCGCTGGCTTGGTGATACAGACACCAGTCCCTTGGGACACAGCAGGGACATTCAGACTCATTTCCCTGAATGGCAGCTAGTAGGGAGCCCTTATTGTCAATAGCATTCATGCACCATAATTCTGTTTTGCTCCTGTGGGTGCTCTGTACTGGGTTTCAACAGGGGCCAGACACCCATTTGCAGGGGCAGGTGGGCACGATCATTCTGGAGCTGGGTGGCTGACTCGCCTCGTTGGAGGAAGAGCAGCTCTTGGAAGCCCCAGATTGACTCAGCCCTCCTGGTAGCAAAGGGAAGGGCAGTGCTGGTTGCTACCAAATCAGCAAGTCTGGCCGGCCCAGATATTGCAGGCAGGTTTGATTGTGTTACTATCATGTCTCTGCAATTGCTATCAAATTGCAGAAATAGAGAAGTATCCAGTACCATCCATCAGGTACTGTCCAAGTTTGGGGAGGGACTCACAGAACAGAAAGTCCTCTTTAGTCGAGGCCTAGAGTTTGAGGGGCCCAGGCAGACCACTCTCTCCCAGAGGGATCCTCTCTCTGACACCCCACCATGCCAGCCACAGAACGGAGTTGGAGAGAACTTGCTGACCAGCCAACCTCCATCCCCATGCTGCAGGTTAGGAAGTGGAGGCCCAAGGCAAGTAGTTGATATTCACTCTTTCCTGTCCAGTCTGGGAGTCTTCTCTCTCTTTTTTTTTTTGTAAGAATGAAAATAAAATTGGAAAGCCTGCAGGCATCAAACTATCAAGCAGGTCACCTTGGTGTAGTCAATCTTCTAGCAAAATTCTCCTCTGGCAGAAAGAACTCCAAGGCCCTGGGAAGTTCCCGTCCAGGCACTGGGAAAAGCGGGCAGGAAGAGCAGGAGGAGCTCCCCCGGGTTGGGGAGGGGAAGTGCGGGTCTCCACAGAGCAAAGAGTGCCCTGGGCCCAGAGGCAGAGGTCCGGCTTCCTGTCCTCATCTGCCTCTTCGTGCTCACTCTGGGACCCAGGGCACCTCCATCCTCAGTTTCCCCCCATAAGCAAAAAAGAAGCAATACTGACTTCCCAGGTTGTCATGAGGGTCAAAGGAACAGTGTCTGTGTCAGTAGCTGGCCCACAGCACACAACCAGCAACTGTTCACTGGTTTGGAATGTGCGACTTACCATGCCCCAGCAAGGTCAGGAAAACTCTCCAGTGAACATTCATTTCCACGGGGAATATGTGCAACTGTAGCCCCTGCAAATACGAAATCTGGACACAACCTTGCCAATAACACATCAAAACTGCCAGAGAACTTGAGCCAGTAGGTCAATTAAGAATAAATCTGGGATTACCGTTTCTGTATGTTTATTTTTGGAGGCAGAAGTGTGGAGTAGCTTCACTGAATTATTTTGAAAAATCAGTCATTGCTTACTTGGCAGTCATATGTGTCCACAACCCAAGCGACACTCTGGATATTCATTAGACACCCGGGCATGGGAGTGCGAGTAGTGTCCAGCGGCCGTTTGTAGAATGAATGAACGGACGCAATCACTTGCAAATTGAATACCTCATAAGCTCTGGCGTCATTATTATCTTATTATTAATACCAAGTTCCAGATTTCATAAATATGCATACATTTAATGCTTTTCAGGCAGATGAACTAAGTGCCACATGCTGTGGGGATAGGGTCTCTGAACCCAGGAATCATGACAGCAAGTCCCAGATGAGTGGGACGGGAAAAATACCAGCACACAAACAAGTAGGTCTGTCTCCTGATTGCCCTCTGCATTTCAGATTTCTGTTTAACTACTCTAACAACAGGTTTTCTGGCACTATATCAAGTTTTCCCCAAGTCACCTGCGAAGGGACTAAACCTAGGAAGGCATAGTCACTCAATTGTAAAATGCTATCTTCTTACAGTTCATCCAGTGGCCACTGGTGGCCTCTTAGAGGACTTACATCTCTGATGGCTTCTGAGGATGGTTGGCTTCAGGAACACAGGCCCGATGTCAAACTCTGCCTCTTCATTTTTCTTCACTGGGGCTCTTTCCTTTAGCAAGCTGCCCTTGTGAAACTGACTGAGAAGCACAGAGATGCAAGAAGAGGGAAACGGGGAAAATGCCAGGTTTTTCATTTTGAATAGTTCTATAGAGTGAGTCCCGCCCATCACTGTGTGCGATGGATATAATTATTTTATACAAGTATACTGAGTATGTACAGTACCCTTAAGTTATGGCTGTGGTGAAAATTTGGTTAAGAATTATTTTGGTAAAATCTCTATTTCAAAATGTATAAACTCATGTAAATTTCCTCCCATACACACTATGATATTTAAGAAGAATTGAAATAGTCGAGGTCACACTGGAATCCCAGAGGTGAGACCAGCCAGTCAGTGGTGGTGTTCAACACTGTTTTAGGCATTCCTAATGTCCCCCTTTGAACTGAGCTGGAGCCAGGTAAAGTATTGTGACAATCTCCTCAGATTTGGATTTGCATCAATTTCTAGTAGATTCTTCTCTATGCTCAGCTGGTGTTTGTGAAAAATCTCTCTCTAGCCTTCATGATCTGAAGGGTTGTGTGTAGCAAATGTAATGTTGCAGAAGATAACCCGATATTCTTGGGCTGGTTTGACTCTATATTATTAATAATAGGTAGTAATCTGTAGCAGCAATTGGAATACTTATTTGACAGGTCTAGTGTATTGAATTCAGATTGGAAAGCAGACCTGGTTCTATAAAAAATCAAATGTAGGTGAGATCTAGTAGTTTTCAGGCTAATAGGGCCTTATGCTTTTCTGAGAATCCCCTCCCTCCCACCACTCCTTGTTAGAACTAAATCAACCAATTAACCAGTTAATGACCAATCTCTCCTTTGTGCAAAGTAAACCTCTCTGGATTCAAGGTTACTAAGAGAATAGAAGAGGGATTCAATGTATGATGAAGAAGTAATGTTGCATAGCACAAGCTCGTCCTTTCATTCAGTTCATGGAAAAACACATACTGGTTGTCACATACGTGTCAGGAGCTGCTCCAGCCTCTTACTGGGAGCACAAAGATGAGTAAGTCAGTCCCTGGCCTCAAGCAACTCTCAGTCTAGAAGACAAAATAAACAAATGAAAGGTAACTGCAATTCAATGTATTAAATACTGTGACTGAGATTTATGTATTAATAAGTTGCAGTGAAATAACAGAAAGGAATGTCTTGTGTGGGGTGGAGCGGGGAAGAGGGTGAGGAAAGCTTCATGTGTTCTTGACAGACGAGCACATGGAAGGTCATTTGCAGTAGAGGGAACAGCATATGTTCAGTGAAGCATGACTAGAAGACGAAAGGCAGCAGATGGGCCTGGGGAAAGATGGCAGGGATCACACCATAACAGGCCTTGAAGATCTTACTTTTCATTCTGCAGATAACAGAGGCCTTGCAATGGATTCCAAATAGCAGAATTACTTAATCAGAATCATGTTTTATAAAGCAGTAAGGAAACATGGAGAGAAGGAGATACATTCGGAAGCTGTCCTGATACCCCAGGTTAAAAGAGGAGCAGACCAGAGAGATTTGAAGCCCTAGAGAAGGCGTGGGTCTCATTTTTCTTGTTCTAGCTTCCTCCAAGGAGCTGAGCATTTCTTCAACATAAGAGGACATCGTAATAGCAACATTTTTAAAAATAAGCCCCTTAAGAAAATGTTTTTAATCATTCTAATTAATGAGACTTAAAAATTCTGGGTATCCAAAAGAAATGTAAGAAAGATCTTTTTTTTCTGTTTTCTTTTCACAACAAAAAGACTTAGTTCCTCACAGATAGCATTTACGCCTGTAGTTTAGCAATATTACCAAAATTGCACGGAGAACTAAGTTCACCGGGGAATTCCTAGAATATGAACCTAAACATTTACCTGATTTCAAGATTCCATCTGTGACAGGTATAATCATTCTCTGAAGAATATTTTTAAAACCTAGGGAGAAAATAATCCACTTTTTTTCATATTAAGGAAAGAGTAGGAGGACAGGGAGGCAGCTGCTCCTGAGGAGAGTTTTTTTTTTTTTTTTTATCTTCAACAGTCCATTTCCTGGTGTTTTTAGAATTAGGCTAAATTGTGTTAGGCAGGCATTTTGAAAGCTGTCACATTGAAAGAGCGAGCTGTCAAGCTCCCAGCTACAGTATCTCTTAAAAAGGGCAGGACTTAGCAATGAGCTGCTCCATCTTGCCAGGACCTGGGCTTGGACAGGGAGAAAGCAAATTCATTTCCTGTTTGTAGCAAATGGAGCCTGGATGACGAGAAGACTTTTCAGTCTCAACTGTGTCTTGTTAGGCCAATAAACAAAGGAAAAATCAATATGCCAACTTAGTCAGTTTGCTGAGTACCCACTACATGGGAAGGGCACTCTGAGGCAAAATGGACAATAG